AAAAAGATACAAAGAAAACCACTAGCTTCATTGCTGAGCTGATATTCAACCATGATTCAACTATGCATTATAATAAATTTGCTTACATCTTTAACACTTTTTCATATCATAAGGGAAATGTGGTTTCCCATAATATCTAAAAGCCATAGTTATCATTAATCCTGATCTGCAGTTTTAACCACTGTTTCATTCCTCAGTTTAAAGACAAAATAGTCTGCAGTCCTCGACTTATGACTGTAATGGAGTCTGCTCATTATGGTCGCAATTTGTGATGGCCGTTAATGGAGAAGACCTTGCTTAATGACCCCCCCCAATCCTGTTCTCCCTAAGGCAGTCATTAAATGGTGTCTCAGGGGCAGGGGAGGCCCTGAGAAGTCCGTCACCCAGCTAGATCTAAAAAGGAGGCAGACAAGCAGCAAATGGCTTTGCAAAGCCAAAAACAGCTCAGCAAGGGGGAAGAGTCCAGTTCCATTAAGGCCTGAGCACCATCTTCCAATGCTGAATAGGCTTCCAAACAAGTCTACATGCATGGCTGTGAGAAACCCTAATGCTCTGAAACACCAGGGTGGAAGTTTAGCGATCTATCCACAGGTGGCCACATTTGTGGGCTAGGTAGGCCTCTGATCCAATCAGCTGCCAGTCAGACTGCAGGCCTCTCCTAGTCTTTGGAGAAGTGAGCCCTCTTGTTATAGCAACGTTGATATATGGCCATTCAACCTCTGCTGAAACATTATTTCTGAGGCAGAAAGTTGAAACAGCTTATAACAATTTCTATATCAGGATGTTCTCGGCATTAGTTTCAAATCCTTTACTTGTAATCTGAATCTGTTCACTTGTGCAGTGCTCTGTCAAGCAATAGAAAATTATTTTGCTACATTATATTTCAAGGATTACAATAGCTGTCCTACGTGAGTTTAGCCAAGGTATGCACCTGATTCTGATGAAATGAACTGTAGCTCATGAAACCTTACACCTTTTCATAAAAAATGGCCAGAAAAGGTGCCAGCAGACCCTTTCTAATTAACAGCTGCCTTACAACAGTAAACTTACAACTATAGGAATGATGTGGAAATTAAAGCTGATCTATGCGTACTCATGATAACAAATCAATACATATATCAACGTTAGAGGCAATGAGCCTTGTGATACTACATGTTGAGCATAAACAATAGAATAAACACTGAAGCACTATTTAGTTACCAGAAACAAATGGTCTGAAATCAGTTAAGTTGATTGCTCATGCTACAACTGTTGAGAGAAGAGAATCATCTAATCACAACTGTAGGTTTACAAGAGAGTCCTCTATCACTAGGCAGACACTACAAAAATATTTGTGACCACATAAGAAAAAATACTTAAAATGCATGTACTTGTGGTCGACTTTGATTTAAGAAATGATTTTTCTTTATAAAGCAAGATATACCTTTTCAGTTGTGGTACTTGCATTTCCCCCATTTCCTTCAAAAGCTGTTTTATGTTATCTTCAACTTCTTTTAGATCTTCATTTCTTTTTCTTAAAGTAAGATTATCTTCTAACCATCGTTCCTGAATCTAAATGCAAATAAAATGAATAGTGAATTATTCTATACTATTTTATCCTATTACAATCAGAAGAACATAAGCAATGGGTTTTGTGAACAAGGAGCTGTTATCAGATATTCTCCAAGATGGCAACATCATGATCATAAATTAATTTTAATTTCATGAATTTCATGACAAACCTAATTAGCTTTTTAAAAAGGGCATGTCCATACAGTTTGAAAATCACAGTCATTTACAGTTCAAAAATATTCTTATGCTTTAACTTTACTTAGGTGCATATGTTATTTTAGACAGCTAGTTTGGTGAACAGATAATCTGCACTTAATGATCGCTTGCTTAACACCAGTTTGAAATTACAATAGCCTTGTAAATGGTGGTTTATGCCTCATAAAGGACTTCTGTCACAAAATGTTGCACACGAACCCCACCCCCCCCCCGTCACATGATTGTGATATGGCTGTTAATACCTATGTCCAGTTGCCAAGTACTTCATGGTCATGTGATCACAATTTGCAATATTCTCTGCCGACCTCCCCAGAAAGTCAATGGGGAAACCAAAAGGCTGCAAACTATTACTGTCTCCCAACAGGACTCCCTTTCATCTCTGGGGGCTGGATGAAAGAGGTCCTTTCCATAGCCGAAATTCAAGTATGCTTGGAGTCCCAAATCCTGTCTCCCCATCCCTGCAGAGAGCCCAAAGAGGCAGGGAGAGAAAGGCATCCAGTTCTGGGTCTGCCTGAACCTCCCTGGATTTTGGCAGCCAAAATTCAAGAATGCTTGGAACCCCAAATCCCTGCCTCTGCAGACAGCTCTTCAGAGGCGGGGAAAGACTCCCAATTTTATGCATGCTTGAACCTCACAAGCCAAAATCCAATCATCCAAAGAAGCCAAATTCCTCCACAGTCACATGGGCTCAACTACTACTTTGCTCAATGACCTAGACTCCAGTCCCAATTTTAGTTAAGTGTAGATTATTGCAATAGTTAAGGAATTAGGTGGGAAATCTATTCCCACCTTAGGCTCAAAATCAACTGGGTAACCTTAGGCCAGCCGTTGTTTCTCAACTCCAGGGAAGCAAGCAATGGCAAACCTCTTTCTAAAATCTTGCCAAATAAACTTCAGAGTCTAGTCTAGGTAGTAATCAAAAGTCAACATTGACTCAAAGGCAGTAAATTATTTTAATTGACACCATTTTTGAACTGATTTTTTTGTTTCAGATGATATCTCAATCTGCAAGAACCATGTCCAGAATCAAGTTATATGTAGAATCAAATTGTGCATTAAAATAATCAAAAATTACTTCCACCACAGAATAAGTCTTTCTTATTCTTGACTTTTTGTAGAGACTTTGAGGCATATAAGGCAGCACATAGATAAGCAAGCCCCACTGCACAAGTAGATGTCAGCCTAATGCTTCATTGAAGTTTATTTATTCAAGCAGCATAAATTTTGAAGTTTCATACAATTGTATTTAGGTTTACAGAAGCAATAGATTTCATTAGTGGAGAATAAAGCAAATTCCAAAGGAGAGAACTAGTGTACTAATGATTGCCATTCAATAAATGGAATACAGTTTATTTTCTGAAATAACATTGAGTAGTGGCATAAATCCTTACAACTTTAGAAAACATTTGAACTTATACCAGTTTTCTATCTTCACTCATTGTTTCCTGAAGTTGCTTTATTTTGAAGCATCATTCAGTGTTCATGTTTCCATCAAAACCTGTAGTGAGATTCTAATGCTCATCTAATATTTGTGGTGACTTCCCTGTTATAATATTTTTGGTGACTTTCCTGTTGCCTATATTACCTATCACATTTACATCCATTGCCCTCTCTTACTAATCACCAGAATATTTTGGTTACCACTTTATATCAGGATAACATACATGGAAATGTAAGCACAGAATGTCAGCCAACAATTTTTGGTAGAGCAGGATTACAAGTGGTGTTATTCATTCTTTTTCTGCTTTGCATTGTTGTATTTGGGTACTTGAGATTACTAGTAAATTGCACAGCCATGATAAAAGCATAGAGGGCATTTCTGCTACATTTCAGTTACTTTTTAAGTACCAAAGGATTTTATTGCAACCACCACACAATTACATTATAAAGTCACAAGTTAAATAATTGTTTTATTAAGCTGAGTAATAATTATCAGCAAATACGATGCAATTCATAAGGTAGAATCTAAGATATCACAGTAGTTCTTGTCTATTAAAATTTCAAATTAAAGTTTTACTAAAATGTGGAGGGCACATTATACACAATAAATATTGTTATATTACTAGATTAATGGAGGAGATAAAGGTACCTTTTGTGTATCAATATCTTGCCTAATTGTTCCCATTTCTTTATTTATCTTCTCTTTCTTTTTCTCAGAATCTATTAGCTGAACTGTGACTTTCTCCAGTTCAGATTCCTTTTGCTGCAAATGAAAAAAAACAAACCACCAAACATTTTAGAGTTCAGTTTCATGTAAAATCTTCTGATAAATCTTTCTGAAAATTATTATTATTTATTAGCTTTTTGCTAATTACCTGCTTGTATTCCTCTTTTCCTCCTTGGATATAATTCTCAATCTCTCTCATATGGTTATGGATATTTTTAACTTTTTCTTTAATGTCATTTATCTGTTAAAATGCGTAAGAAGTATGTTTGATTCTAAGAAATACAAATATATTAATCAATAGCCAATATTGTTCAAGTAATATATATTTCAAAACACTGTAGGTTCTAACTGCACCTTACCTTAATTAGACCAGAATGTTTTGAAGAGAAGCAATTTGAAATTTGTAACATGTTGTCCAGATCGAAGGAAATAAAATGTTTATTTTTCCCTACATGTCAATTGTGATTTCTGCAAAGATTTCTGTGAAGATCCACAGGTATCTGGTTATTATTTTCCTCCCTGCCCTTTGGTATATGTTTGATAAGTGGTGGGGGAAGAGTTTTATAACAATCTTTGGGGAAGTACCCTTTCAAGTGTAGATGCTCAACAGCTTTTTAACTGTAGAACTGGCAACTTATTCTTAACTCCTTTTCTAATAACCTTTAGCACAGATAAATGTTTCCTGTTCCATAATTATTATGCAATAGACTAATATTAAAGCTAAGCAAATCTTTTGAAACAGAAATTTTGCATTAACTAATGAAGAAACATCATTTTTCAAATGGTTAAGGCAGGTGCTTCTTTTCTTAAATTCTAATATGTATTTGAAGGGTTCCATTTCTCACCACTCTTCTTTGTAAGAACTGTCTAATGATTCATGTAGTCTGCTTTCATTTCCTTTCAGAGGTTGAGGGTCTAGGATACTTCTGCATGGCAGTTACAGTATTTTGCATCCCAAATCCCTCACAACCCAATTTGAAACTAATCTCTGAATACCTTCACTTGCGATAGCTTCAAGCTGCGAAGTGCAGAACAAAATAATTCTGTACAGATGTAAGAAGTTATAATACGGGCAGGCTTCCTCTTTTGAAGGTAATATGCATTCTAAGCCTCTTATTATTTATGATGCTGCAAGAAAAAGACAGCATTTTTGCAACTATGCATTTTCATAACAGCTCTAACAAAGACTGTAGTTATCAGTAAAGAGTCTTTCATGTGTGTGAAGAATGGAGAGAATGTAATAGCTGATGAGAAAGACATCTGGATTTTAGTTTTAATGAAAAATATAGCGTTGGGGCTGATATGAATGGTTGTCATGCTTAAAAACAATAACAAGATAAAAAAAATAACCAAAATACCAAAAAATAACCAATAACCAAAAAAATAAATTTCCTATAAGAATATATAAACCAACTCAGGGCCAGCAGCCAACCTTCTCTTGTGTTATTTTGTAACTTGTATTCTTTTTGTTGGACAACTCTTCTTTTTCATGTTGAAGTTTTCCCAAAGTTGTTTCCAAAGGAAGTAACTGTTCCTTTGCATCCTGAAAAGAAAAGCACACGACTATGAGGTTTTTTTGTTTCTTTTAGAAATCTGTTTTTTTAACCTTTACAGATACATGTAGCAGTCTTATGATTATTTGAATGAATATGACAAAGCTGAACACAATTGAAACCAAGCGGGGAATAGCAATGGTAGTCCCAATATTTGTTAGTCATTTTACCTTGATCTCTCTGTTTAAAGACTGCACCTCGGTTGTTAATTCTACAGTCTGTTCTTCAAGTTGCTGTCGACGCTGCATGCTGCTGGAAATCTGAAGTTTCTCAGCTTTGAGTTCATTTACTGTGCACTTTAAATGCTGGACTTGATTTTGTTGGTCTTGCTTGAGTGTCTGCTTCAGTTCAATTTTGCTAGTAACTGCAAGCAGAATGAAAGGGAGTCAAAACAAGGAAAAACGCAATTAACAGAATGAAATTCAGCCTGAAGTCACGACGGTAAAAAATGTGCAGTAGAGTATATTGGGCACCTGGTCTGAGACTCCTCAAAGCAACAACTTCTTTCCCAGGATTAATGGCTGCCTTCAGCAGCTGCAGCAGAATCCTAAGAAAGAGTGTTAAGATTCACTCTTACGGGCAAGGTGAGCCCACATGTTCACAAGCACCTTTTTGAATCTGACCCTGAATTATCAAGCACAGTGCTTCAAACTTGGACCAAATTATATTGAGGTACTTAAATAAGAAAATATGTGTTTGCTGTTAGGAGTCGCAAACACATGCCATGCTTTATTCTGGCACATCCAAGTCATGTTTTGGATATTAAATTCAAAGCCTATGGTGATTCTCAGTCATCCATGTCATGGTTGTCCCAAAGGTGCTTTTTCAAGAGGCAACTGAACTTTCTGGTTTTCATTTGAAGACGTTTCCCTTCTCACCTAAGAAGCTTCTTCAGCTCTGACTGGATGGTGGGGAATGGAAGGTTTGAAAAAGGGGTCAAATAGGCCATCTGTGTCAAAACTGAACAACCCTCTCTCAACAGGAGGGGGAGGGATACAACCTCATCTATCTCCAATCTACAACACAGTCCGTTCACCAATTCCAAGAAGGCCCCACACCCATTTGCACCATTCAGAGGGCCATATTGACACAGATAAAGTTCCAGGTGACCTTAATGACCTGCTAAAAGAACGCAAATGACCAGCTGTTTGCAAGGAGTATAAATCCTTCCATTCCCCACCATCCAGTCACAGCTGAAGAAGCAGCTCTTCGATAGGAAGCAAAACATCTTCAAACAAAAATAAGAAAGTCCAGTTGCCTCTTGAAAAAAAGCATCTTTGGGTTAAATCCGAAGTATTATACAGTCACATTTAAAGGTTTTGCCTGCTTTTAAATATAGCACTACAGGTAGTTCTTGCTTGCCACAACTGGGACCAGCAACTCCATTACTAAGTGATGCATTTGTTAAGCAAGACATCATTGGACCACAACGTGTGATTTTACTCCCAGCTTCTCCATTGACTCTGCTTGTCAGAAGTGGGCTGTGAAGCACAACAATTGGTAATCAGGTCATGTGCCACAGATACACTGCAATGGTATGAAATGCCCACCGATCGTGAAATGCCAGAATCTCAATCATGTGACCATGAGGCTATTGTGACAGCCGTAAGTGCAAAGACCAATTGTAAGTGCGAGGAAGAATCATACAGTTATTTTTCAATGCTGTTGTAAGTTAGAACGGTCATTAAACAGGGCAGTCGTTAACCAAGGATTACCGGTACCATATTTCAATTGTTAGCTCTCATAGGAAACTTCAGCTACAAGGACTACAAATTTGATTAACGACGGTCATATTTATTTTGATGGGTATTGTATGGGGTTGTTTGGACAAGGAAATGAGTAGAGATACCTTCAGATTAAACTTAGGTTGTAATTACTACATTTAATTTAGACAAGAGGAATTTTAATTACCTAAATTAATTATAATGTGCATATCAAAAATTAACATCCTGATTCATATTTTTTTTTAAAATGTACTATGTCATTATACTTGTAAAAGTTTTAAAAATTAGGAAAAACTCCTGGAAATAAAAAAAAAAACCAGAGACTTGTAAGAGAGTTTCCAATATTTGAGTTAAGAAAAATGTATTTGTTACTAATATTACTTTTTATTAGTGAAAGAAAGGATAAATTTTAATTTTAGCTGTGCACTTGTTCTATAAGTATTTTTATCCTACCTTTTCTTCAGGAGCTCAAAGTAACACAAACATCACTCCCTCTTCACATTTTTAATTTAATACAGCAACTCTTGAAATAAATAGTGGATTATTTGCTGGTATTTCAAACCATTAGATGGGCAACATTTAATTTAATAAACAAATAACGTCTTTGGGGAAAAATGATTCCATGATTCCATGAATTTTTAAATTTTGATTTTAAAGATTTTGCATAGGGAACACACAGTTAAGGAACGCAGTTTTAGTTATGGAAACAGGATCACTCCTTGTATGTCATTACCTGTGTCCCACTGGTGTTTTTTTTCCTGTTTCTCTTGGCTCACTTGCAAAAGAGTCCGTCCCAAATCCACTCCCTGGAGCCTAGCAGCCTGCTGGGCAATTTTTCTTTCAACATCCTTTAGATCAATCTGAAAAAAAGGCAGAAAGAAAATGCTGAGCTGCTTAACGTAAGTCGTCCTCAGTGTGCAACCATTTTGTTCAGCGATCATTTGAAGTTATGATGGTGCTGAATGAATATCCTGCCATCCCATGGTCACATGATCATAATCTGGGCACTTGGCAACCAGCTTGCACTTATAACCAGTCACCTCCCCCCTCGATCACTTCCAGAAACTCAGTGCAGATGCTGGCAGGGAAAGTTGAAAGTCCTGCCCGAAGTCTCTCCCACCTGTGCATCCTACCCTGGCTCCTCTGCGCTTGTGCTACACAGGCCACTTGCGCACCCTCCCAGAGTTTAACCAGGCTTCCTTTTCACCCACATATCCCCCCTTATCCCTCAACCTCACTGTGCCTTTACTATTCATGCCCCCCCCCGCATTGAACCTTGCCACGCTTCTCACACCCCCACTATGCTTCTGACACCTCATACACTCTCCCTGACTTTTGCCACACCTCCCTCACACCCCAACACCAGAGGTGGCATTCAGCAGGTTCTGACCAGTTCTGGAGAACCGGTGGCGGAAATTTTGAGTTCAGAGAACTGGCAAATACCACCTCTGACTGGAGATTTTACAGTACCCTTCCCCTGCCATGCCCACCAGGCAACGCTCACAGAACCGGTAGTAAAAAAATTTGAATTCCACCGCTGCCCCACCCCCCCATGCACTCTTAGAAAACCCAACATGCTCTCCCCCACCAGGCAGCAGTCACTTAACTAACTGCCTATGGGTCTGTTTGGGGTTTGTAATTTCCTCACTTAGTTGTGGGAAGTTGGCAGAAAATTGCCTCAGCTAATGACCATGGGATTCAGTTAATGACAGCAACCAAGGCTGGAGTCGCAAAGTCAAGAGATTGCACTTGATGACTGCATCATTTAGCAGTCTGCCAATTACATTCATAACCCAGGGATTTGTTGCAGTGAACCATGTAAAACGAATGTGATCAGTCTCTGCTTTCATCCATGCAATGCAATAGGCCACCTGCTTTAGACCACCCATGGCCTCCCCTGACCTACTGAGATACCTCATGCTCCTTCCCTTGGGGTCTTTACAATTGTTTCCTCTCCTTGCATCCTGCTGCTCCAGGCAACTCACCTTGTGAAGATCTAGTGAGCTGTCTTCTCTCCAACCTCTCTGCTGCAGTTTCTTTGCCTGTTTGCAGTCTTAGTGTGAAAAATGTTTGATGAGACTTTAGGGAAGTAAAATCACATTGCTTTTTGCGCTGAGACTGGAAGCTTCTGGGGGCCATGATCTCACACAAGATCACAGCCCCTAAAAGCTTCCAGTCTTGATGTGAAAAGCATTTGCAAGCTGATGGAAGGCTTCAAGCAACAAGATTTTGCTGCCCCAAAGTCTCATCGGCTTGCAAATGCTCTTCGGTCAGATCTGGTGCAGGCCTTGGTTCTCTGAGAACTGAGGGGTAAAGCAATGTAGAGTACTGTAGTGCAAGATCTCGCAATACTGATCTTGTGTGATCTTGCACTGCTTTAGGCTTCTGTTCTCCGTGAATGCACCAAAAGCAGGCAAAGGAACCAACAGCTCACTAGATTGTTGCAAGGTGAATCTCCACAGACCCAGTACCTGTGGAGACTCTGTTAGTGGGGGGAGGGGGGAGAGAAATAGGCAGGGTGAATGTTGCAGTGCCTCTGCCATGCAGTGCCTTCAAGTGTGAAAGAGTGCCATGATACTGCAATATTCGTAACTTTGGGACTGTGTCGTAAGTTTGAGTTCTTCGCGGAGTTCATGGGAGTAGATTCTTATCCATACTGCAAAGAATCCGCTCCTGTGATCTCCGTGAAGAACTCAAAAACCATCTAGACAATGGAGAAAAGGATCTATACATTGACTACCGAGCTGATTGCATCAAAAGAAAGTCACACAACCCACAACTCCACATCCAACCCCACCCCATCCAATCCAACATCACTCAAAACTAGGCATGCACACCCCTAACTACCTCTATTCCAACCACAACTGGCCTTAAATGCAAGCTACTCAATGCAAGAAGCCTGGTAAATAAAATACCTGAATTTCTCCTCTTACTAAATACAGCTAAATTCGCCATTATGTTTGTCTGTGAAACATGGCTCAACGCATCTCTCCCTGACTCCACTACCATAGTAATAGACTATCATGTTTACCGTTCAGATCGTGAAATCTGTAGAGGAGGTGGTGTTGCTATCTTCTATAAAAAGTCCTCACATCTAAAAAACATCCAAGTTACCCAGGAGCTTGCTATTCCTGAGGCCATCACGTTCCGGTTCTTACTATGTTACAGAGCCCCTGATTATGACATCGAACATGCAAACAAGCTAAATACACTACTAACATGGGCAGCATCCTGCCCACATGCTTTTATTTTTCTTGGTGACTTCAATTTACCTATTAACTGGACCCTTAACAAATGTACAACTGAACCAACACATGCAACCTTATACAATGCAGTAACAAATCTGGGACTAGAACAACTAGTAACCAACAACACTAGACTTAACAACTGCCTCTATCTCATCTTCTGCAATAGTTTGAATTCAATTTATGGAATACAAATTAAAGAACCCTTTTCCAACAGTGACCACAACATGATAGACTTTTGTCTTAACATATGCCCACACAAAAATGATCACAACGACGGAATCCCCAATTATAACTTCAAAAAAGGCAATTATGTATAAACAACAATCTCTCATCCCTTGATTGGCAATTTCTATTCACTGGATGCAATACTGTAGAAGACTATTACAATGTATTTTTACTTGAAGTCAAAAGAGTCATCAAACTATACGTACCATCAACAACTCCCAAAACCAGAAAAAACAGATTACCCATAACAATAAGGAAGCTTCAATCCAAAAAGAGATCACTTTGGCGGAAAAACAAATCTGGTCACGTTGCCAACTTCAAAAGCCGATACAAAAATTTATGCCACCAAATAAAAACTGAATGCACCAATTATCACATTAAACAAGAAGAAAACCTTCTACTCACCAATTCCACCCGCACTTTCTACAATTCTGTAAACAACAAACTAAAAGACTCAAGGTCCATCCCACCTATGAAAGGATCTAATGGTAAAGACTACAACGATGACACTATTAAAGCCAACCTCTTTAACACATTCTTTGGCTCAGTATTTGTAAACAGCAATGGATCATGCCCAGTTATTTCCTAGTCGAACCACAGACAACTACAATGATCTAATACATATCAATTTTACAGAAGACAATGTTGAAAAAGCACTACGCAATCTAAAACCATCTCTATCTATTGAACCAGATGGAATATGTGCCTACTTCTTAAAAAAGCTATCCACTGCCATAGCCGAACCTCTAAGCATAATCTTTGAAAAATCTTTCAGGACCAGCTCCTTGCCAAAACTATGGTCACAAGCCACGGTCATCACCATCATTTAAAAAGGGAGACCCCAGCCTAGTTGAAAATTACAGACCAATCTTTTTATGCTGCGTCACCTGTAAAGTCATGGAGTCAATTATTAACCAATCCATCATCCTCCACTTAGAAACAAACAACCTACTCTCTAATATTTTGGTTTCAGGAAAAAACTATCATGTAATCTGCAACTCTTACACTGCAAAAACATATGGACTACACAACTCAACCAGGGCAAAGCAATACACACAATCTACATAGACTTCTGTAAAGCCTTTGATTCAGTGGTACACAACAAACTACTCCTAAAATTAAAATCTTATGGTATCTCTGGACACCTGCATAACTTGATAGAAGCATTCCTGTCAAACAGAAAACAAATGGTCAACATTGGGAGCATCCTATCAAATTCTGTACCTGTCAACAGTGGTGTCCCCCAAGGCAGTGTTCTAGGACCAACTCTTTTCATATGCTACATAAATGACCTCTGTGATCATATCAAGAGCAACTGTGTTCTCTTCGCTGATGATGTAAAGCTATTCAACACCACAGACAATACTGCTACCCTTAAAAAAGACCTTGACTATGTATCAGAATGGTCAAGCAAATGGCAACTTCAAACCTCCACAAATAAATGCTCTGTCCTACATATTGGCAAAAAAATTCAGAAAATAAAATACAGGGTTCTAGCAGGGTTCAAGACCTTGTTGATGATCCAAACTCTGTCAAGGAGTACTCATCTCTAATGACCTAAGTGCTAGAACCCACTGTAACTACATAGCCAAAAAGGCATTAAGAGTTGTTAACATAATCTTACGTAGCTTCTTCTCTGGTAATATTACACTAATAACTAGAGCATTCAAAACATTTGCTAGATCAATACTCAAATACAGCTCATCAGTCTGGAATTCACATTACATATCTGATATTAACACAGTTGAGAAAGTCCAGAAATATTTCACAAGAAGAGTTCTCCACTCCTTTACTTGTACCTTATGCCACCAGACTCGAAATTCTAGACCTAGAAAACCTACAACTACGCCGCTTTCAGTCTGATCTTAGTATAGTATATAAAATCATACATTACAATGTCCTACCTGTCAATGAATACTTCAGCTTCAACCATAACAACACAAGAGCAAACAATAGATACAAACTCAAGGTTAATCGCACCAAACTTGATTGCAGGAAATACAACTTCAGCAACAGAGTGGTCAATGTCTGGAATACTCTACCCGACTCCAACCCCCAAAACTTTAACCTTAAACTTTCTACTATTGACCTCACCCCTTTCCTAAGAGGTCTCTGTGTTAAGTGCACCAACATGCCTACCGTCTCTGTCCTATTGTTTCTTTTATTTTTCTTATATGTATCCATGTATTCATAACTATGTTTTTACTTATACCTGTTATCTTGTAAGCAACTGACAAAAATAAATAAATAAATAAAATAAAAAATAAATAAAGTCCTTAGAGGGGTGATGTCGTAACTTCAAACGGTCGCTAAGTGAATTGTTGTAACCCAAGGATTACCTGTATGTTCTGCATCTTAAGTCTAAAGCTGGCTTTTAATATATTTGTGGTTCCAGAATATCTATTGCAGATAAGCAGGCACATCTAGATATACGGATGTTCCCTGCAACCTCAATTCAAGGATTCCTTCCTATTATGTGACCATTTGGGGAAAAAAGCTAAATGAAGAGACATTCTTTTCCAACAGACTTTGCCATTTTGCACGTGAAGTATGATAAAGGAAGGTTTTGTGCACAATCTGGTAAGAAGTATCCTTACCTGATCCCTTTCCATAAGTGTAATATCCTGCAGACATGCTTTTGCACTTTCTTCCTCTGTTACGATAGTACCCAAGATGTTTTCCTGGTCTTCTATATCAGCTTTAAGGCTTTGGATCTCTCTGTTAAGGATCTGTAGCTTGTTTCTCAACTCAGGTATATCTTTTTCATGGAGTTCAGATACTGTTTGCCTTTGTACGAAACAGAAAATAAAAATGCATGACATTTTCTTCTCTGTTAACAGCCATAAAGTCAACTTAGTACAACTATATTTGGGATTCTAATCTGAATACTAAAATTATGTTTGTTTGGATTATGATATCCTAAATCTTTCTTTCCCCTAAGTGGAATTTTCTTCATGGCATATTCCTCTGGGGAAAAGGGGTTGTGGGGGGGAATGTGACTACTGTTTCCGCCTGAGCCAACTCTGCCCCCCAAATATTTGGGGATCCTTCACAACCACAGGGCCACTGAAGCTGTTGAGAAGGGCAACTCATTATCTAAGCCACTGTATTATTTTATGATGGAAGTGATAGAGAATGCTACTGCCTGATAAGACAGGAAACCCCTTCAATTTGTATATATCAAAACACTGCCTTTCCTGAAAACTTCATTCACTCTTCACACCATAAAACATCGTGATTCCTGCCTTACCTGATAGGTTTCAGAGAAATCATATCATCCCGTTTCTTCTCCCTTTTCTTAAGTTCAGATTCTGTTGTCTTTAGTTTGTCTGGAGCAAGGCGCAGTTTGGCTTGAAGATCATTTATGACGTCTTGCAGTTCTGCCTCCGTTTCAAAGACTCTCTGACACACCGGGCAACATGGCTGGTTTTCGTCTGCTAGTTGTGTGATGAACTGCGAATAAACTGCTGTGGCTCCTGCAAGCATAGCTGTATTGAAAAACAAATGCTTTTATAAGACAGTGGGAAGATTGAGTTTTATGAAGTATCATTTCTCACATTCATTTTCGTAAAGAGGATTAACCATTCTAATTAATGGATGATTGAGGTCACAAATTTTTACCTACTTACCGAAAAAGCTCCAAAGCTACCATTTTCAAAAGAAAGATGAGCAAAGTAAAATCAGTAAAAACAAAGGCTGAAAGCCAGACTATTTCTTATATCCAAGTTTTACATCAGGAGTTGCAATTCCTTTCCAAGTGAACATTTCAGGTAGCCTTTGGTTAACAAGGTAACTGGAATCAAAATGCCCATCATTAACAAATGCAGTTGTAAAATGCAATGCCAAATGACCACATTACTTAGTGATGGCATGAGGATTGTGGGCTATTATTCAACTTTCTCTTGACTTCCCACAAACAAAATTAGTAGGAAAGTAACTAAAGTTAGTAATAGTTAACTTTCTACTGGCATTCACATCAGTTACTCCTTATTTCTCATAAATGCAGAACGTTGAATAGAATAGAATAGAACAGAATAGAATTCTTTATTGGCCAAGTGTGACTGGACACACAAGGAATTTGTCTTGGTACAAATGCTCTCAGTATACATAAAAGACAAAATACATTCATCAAGCTCAATTTTACAGTTTTAAGCTCAATTTTACAGTTAAAATTGAAAAAGTTAAATCCCCCCCCTTTTATGAGAGCTTACATTTAAAGAATGACAACTTGAGCGCTTGTGCACCTGACAAAAATTAGTTACTAGTAAATCTATTTAAAATATTGGGCAGTAATTAACACAGTGGTTCCTCTTAAAATAATACTGGAATCTCCATTCTAAGTTTCTATTGAGATTTTAGTACCTGAATTTAACAAGACTGTTGGATGACTTGCACACGTTGTTGGATCTTTACTCAACTTCAGTGTTATTGTTCAGTATAAATCTCCTAAACTCAGGAAGGAAACATCATGCTTTTGCCCATTTTTCTATTCTGACATTCAGCTTTACTATGAATGCAACTCCTGATACTGTTTAAAGCTTACAAGTTATTGGGTGTAAACAAGTATATAAGAAATAATGGATTTTGGGGGGGTATGGGAGTGAGAAGGAGTTTTATAGACTTGCCTCGCTGCTTGGATGTTTTTTCAATATCATGCTGCAGCTTATTAAGATCACTTTCAAAATCTTGACTTCCGCAGACATCAAAAAGCTTTTCTTCGTATGTGGACAGCTGTTCCTCCTTTTTCCTTAGTTCAGTGGTAATATGACTTTTGTTTTGTTCTGCTGAAACAAGTTCTTTGCTGAAATGTAAGTGTTATTTATAATCAGAACTGAGGTGTTTTGCTTTTTTTAAAAAAAAGGTTGAAGTTTTTGATTTTCTGGCTCTTATCAAAAGGAGGCTTTTGAAAAATGTTCACTGGGTCAGCATCTGACTCCCAAATGATGTTCATCAATTCAAAGCAATTCTATCTATCTCTTTGCTACTTAGATTGCTGTGGCGTGTATGCATGGCTTAGTTCAGACAATATTAGAATCCACCATCTGTGGGATGTATTACGGCTTTGTGTATTTGTTTCTCTATTTCAGCATATCAGCAACTTCCTTAATTTCCTGGGTACCTTGCCCATAATTTTCCATTTTGTATGAATCAAGAAATAGTTTGTAAATTGGATTCTTATCTTAGTTTGGGGTTTAACCATAATCGTAATTTGCCCAACATGGATATTATCAAAAACTAACTAAAAGAATCATACTTTAATTTAAAAAAAAAAAAAGCTTTTTAATGCTTTCAGTTTCAAATGACTTTATAATCTGAAAGGAATAGATGCTTTTGTTTAAAAGAGAATACTCAGAAGAAATAATTTAAATTATAGGTAGATCAAGTAGCATAAGCAAACATTTTTAACTATAGGACAAAGAATAACCCTCCCAATCACATATATACTTGTAAAATTTTACGTGATAAACCCAGTGGACACAATCTTTCCTCCTTAGTAACCCAAACAGTGAATCATATGGGGTCTGCCGCATTCTACAGATCTACCACAGCTGCCTTATAACCACAACTCCAAGTCTATACTTCCCTCTACCCTGAATCTCTCGTCTACTTCCTCCATCAAAGTTCTGTTATGATTTAACTTATGATTTCCTTAACTCTCAGATCTACCGAAGACTACTTACCTGTTTTCCCCCCTCCCCAACTCTCTGTTGGACTTGTTCGCAGGGCACTAGACTGTAGAGATTTTGTTAGATTTTTCTAATGTTAACCAAACACTGGCCATTTCCAGTTTAATTTAATTAAATGCATTCTCTGACAGTACCATGATATAATGAGTGCTCTAACTCGAGCCATTTATCTTGGTCTCATTACTGCTTAACTTTCTTTTTATTAATAATTTATTAAAGATTTGGAAAAAAAAAACCTAATTCAAACTAAAAGAAAAAGAAAAATTAGTAAGCGAAAAAAAGAAAAATAGAGAAGAAAGAAAAAATAAAAAAACAGGTAGTCTTCAATTTACAATTACAATTGGGTCTGGAATTTCGGTTGCTAATCAATGTTGTCATAATGCGTAATGTCACATGACTGCATAGCTTAGCAGCAGCAAGCATGGTTGTTTCCATAACTCCAGATGCCCAGATCATTAAACGGGAAGTGGAGGGAGTCTCAGGCAAAGAGTGGGGGCAGGGGGGCATAGGAGAATGGGGGACGCCCTGAGAGGCCCAACACAGGCAACATGAAAGTTGGGAATGTGAGGAGCTCAGAAAGGGCAGGGAAAGAATACGCTGAGGCTCAGGGCCTTGCTGGTACACTGTAGCTTTTGGGTTACAAGAAGCCTCTGAGTTGCAATGTAGCGTGAAGCCATAGCTACCTCTGGAAGCCTCAGCTGCCCCAGCAGCGTGGCTCAAAAGGACTTCTTGGTATGCCATGGCTCTGGAGCTGCAAGACGCTCCAGAGCTGCAGCCCAGTGCAAAGCAGCTGCTTCACGAAGTCCTAGCCATCCCAGGAAACCCCATAGCACAGATTCTTCTTCTCTATCTCCCCCAGGTTTCTCAAGAACAGGCCAACTGTTTAACAGCTTGCCTGATTTGGATAACAGAGAGAGTGGCCTTTGAAGGAAGGACTAGCACTGCCAGCAGCTGCCTCTCATAGGGATTGTCAGCAGTGAGAGAAAGATACTGAAGGCCTGTGGAGCACAGGGCTGTGAGGGGAACTGGGGCTTTGTGCTGTGGCCATGGTGTGAGGCTTGAGGTAACATGACTCAGTGGAAGTGGCAGTACTGGGGCTGAAGAAGATACCTGAGGCAGCTAACTACCTGAGGGCAGAGGCAGCTAACTAAGTCTGCCAAAGGCTCTGGGCTCTACTTCAACCCTGGCCCCACCCCTGCCAAGAAGTGCTGCTGTATGAAGCAGCCAAAAAGACATAGATATGGAGGAGATAAATAAGGGGGGAGAAGGGACATGAAGCACCCCTGCAGTTGGGTGTGGGCAGGCTCCATTATAGCTGTGAGTCAAAGATTTGTTTGAAAAGAACTGACAAAAATATCGAAAATAATCCCTCTTTTAAGGCAATCCATTATATAAAACTCTTAGATTATAATGTAATTGAAAGTACATTTCTAAATGTATATTTAGACTGTGTATTCAATGATCAAAAAGTGAAAGACAAATGTAATTAATGTTAAATCAAATAGAATTAATGCTTACTTGAGCTTGGCAAGCTTATCTCTTGTCTGATTAATTTCTTTAACTCTTGAGTGAAGCCAATCTTCAAGCTGATTTTTGCTTGGGAAAAATCCCAACAAGCAGATTAATTCTTCACTGTGTCTAAATTTAATTTTTCTGATTTGGTCTTCTTTGTCAGCCTTAAAAATGAAACAACAATTTGATCACGTATAAGCAAGAAAGTATTTCTTGTTCTGTAAATATTGAACTAGCTTAGACTTAATAGTAAACTACATAAAGAAAGCTTTATAGATTTTCAATGTTTATCAATACTGCTAAATAAACATTGTTTTAATACTTCATGGATGTGGGAAATTATGTTAGTCTGACTACTCCAAATGATGGATTTAGCATTACATTGGAACTAGCTGTTGCTTTCATGCAAACTTGACACCATCTGTGCTAAATATTTCAAGCTTATATAGGAGTGTCTGGTAAAATACACTACTTTATCTTTTTTCAGCATATCCATTTGGGTTATAACTGTAGTATTCAGGTTCAGTTGTTCCATCTCTTTATCCAGTTTCCGAAGAGTACTGTCCAGATTTGTCTTTTCTCTTTGCAGTTCCTTAATTTCCATTTCTAGGGTTTCAACATTGCAATTTTTCTCAGCTTCAGCTAATTCATGTTTCTAAAGGGAAATAACAGAAAGCAGATTTTTTACTTCTATTTAGGTATGCGTAAAACTGTATTCACCGAATTAATACTAATCCTAGCGATAGATACAGGATATTCTTTGTAGCAGCTGAAGAAAACATCTCTCAGTCATTACAACAATAGTAGTCTCCTATGGAAAAAGCATCTGAAGATAGAAATAGGGCTACATTAAGTGTAGCCCCTTCTCAAACTGATGGTTTTTTTCCACATATGCAGGTAAAAAAGGTGATAGGCTCAGACTCCTGGCTGTGTTCTGTTCTGTAACTGACATTTAACGAGGTGATAAATAAGAAGATATTTTGGTGGCACCTTCTTCACATTTCGCTATCAAAGGGGAATGGCCTGCTTTGAACTGGGCTGCATGGGGGAGCTGTGAGTTTAATCCTTCCTACTTAGAAAGAATGAGGGAGAACTAGTTTTAGAATATGTATTTAGAGGGTATTTAAAATAAACTATAGATATGAACAGCTGTGTTTATCCTTTAGTTTTATTGTATGTATGGTTTGTTAACCAAGGCTTACTGCTTTTGTAAGTTCTTGGTCCAGTTCTAGGAGTCGATTTGAGGAACCTTCCAGTTGACGTAACTCCTGTTTTAGATTCTTTACTTCAAATTGTTTCTTATTTTGAATATCTAACTTTAGGACAATTGTTCTTTCAAGTCCAGTTTTTTTATCCCTTATTTCATCAATTTGTTTCTGCTTCATTGTTTCCTTCTCGCCAAATTCTTTCTAGAAAAAAGATAAAAATCACAATTTAAACAAAGGTTGTACATGTAGTCCTCAACTTACTACCACAATTGATGCCAAAATTTAGGTTGCTAAAGTGAGACATTTGTTAAGCGAGTTTTGCCCCATTTTACAACCTTTCTTGACATAGCTATTAAGTGAATCACTGCAGTTACTAGCATGGTTATTCATTGAATCTGGCTTCCCCATTGATTTGTCAGAGTGCTTGTCAGAAGGTTGCAAAAAAGGTGATCACATGATCCCAGGACACTGCAAAGGTCATAAATATGAGCCAGCTGCAAAGTATCTGAATTTTGATCACAGGACCATGGGGATACTACAACGGTCATAAGTATGGAAAAACATGTACTCCAAACCTGTACTCTAAAACATAACTACAAAATCAGTCCCACACAAGTGGATTCCTTTGCAATTAAATGGGTTAGGATGGCATCAAATTAAGTAATTAATATTTTGGCAATAACGCTTGTAAAATATACAGGACGTACAAATGCTCATATAATTCCCATTTCCCATGTTCTGTGAAGAATTCTGTCACTACTGGCTCTATAAACAATTATTTAGGACTAATTTTTTTAGAAAAACTTAATCCAAACAGACTAAAATTGTGTTCCACAATTAATGCTTTTCAATTAAACATTTTACTATACTGAACCTGTATTTTTCACACTATAAGACACACTTTTTCCCCACAAAAAAGTGGGTGGAAATGTCTGTGTGTCTTATAGAGTGAATGTTGCCAAAGCCCCACCCACCCACCAGCCCCTACCTTTCGGCCTCTGCCTTCCAGCAATTTACCTCCTTGCAGCAAACTGCAAACAGCCTGGTCAGCTTCAACACAGCTTGATTCAGCAAGAGCAGTTGATTGACGGTTGGATCGGCCTCCCGGAATACCTCCGATCAGCTGTTCCAGGCTGCGGGCATCGTTGACACCACCCATCACCACCTCCATGTGCCCCATTTTCGGCCCCGCCATCTGGAATGGGCCGAAAACAGGATACGCGGAAGCTGAAAACAGGACACGTGGAGGCCAAAAATGGGGTGCGCAGAAGCGGCGATGGGCGGCAGCAATCCCCACAGCCTGAAACAGCTGATTGGCAGTATTCCAGAAGGCTGATCCAACCGCCAATCAGGCTGTATTGAAGCTGACTAGGTGATTTGCTGTTTGCTGCAAGGAGACAAATTGCTGGAAGGCAGAGGCAGATTTTTTTTTTCTTGTTCTCCTCCCCAAAAGTAAGGTGCGTCTTATGATCTGGAGCATCTTATAGTGCAAAAAAGATGGTAACTAAACTTGTGATAACTTATATACATGTATGGCCCCAGTTAATCTACTATTTATTTATTAATTAATTTAATGTATGTAAATTTACTGTTTAATATGTTTTGTATTTAAAAATCAATAAAACTCACAGATAAGGACTGAGCTAGAGTCCCTCTCATACCTGCCTTTTGTCTGAAATGAGCTCTTTGCTTTTGGAACATGGCATATCACAAATTAAATCCAGGTTACTCACCATCTAATCTAATTTGCTGCACTGGCAGACTAACGTATCAGAAAAGGGAATTTTTTTAATCCAACCAGTGACATATTCATGCTTGCAGAAATGGTAACGAATGTGTACATAATAAATTTCTTTTTATTTTTATTCAAAAATAGTTCCTGGGATATTTTACTTATAACAGAAATATACTAGGGTGAAGCAAAAAAAAAAAAAATCCGAAAAAAACCCTCAAGATTTTGTTCTTACTGGCTATGTTTCCTTATCTCTGCCAAATATGATGCTTCCTGCTATCAAATTCACTTTTCTCCAATTATAACAAAAAGAAAAGAACATACACTATCACCGACTGATGTGAACTTTCCTACAAAGTACTATTTCAGTGTACCTTAAATATGTTTTTATTTACATCCTAATCTCACCATAATTTAGAATAGATATTATTTTCCTATTTTAGACTAACTGAGCCTTTAAAAACATACAAACTCAAATATTTACCATTAAATTATTAGCACTTTCCACATCTTTGTCCTGTCTCTCTTTTACCAGCCTCTGAAAACTATTGATTTGTCTTTCATTTAAGGGTGCCGTTTCAAATCCTTCCAATTCCAACTGAGTTGCCAAAGACTGAATTAATGAATCTCGGGTTCTAATATGCTGCTGGTAACGATCTGCCTGTAACTGAAGACGACCTTCACAGAAAAAACAGAATTTAAACATATACAATGTATTCAAGATTTTACAGAATTCTTGATAAGATTCAAAAAAATGTAAAAGTTATTTACATGTAAATAGAAAAAAACTCCACTATTGGTAGTTGTCTAATCATTGAGTAAAGTTAATCCTGTGGTATAAAACACCAACAATTGGCTGACTCTGAATTTTTTTGTTGCAATTAATTAACAAATAGTAGTTAATTAATTCCAAAGCTAGCATACTGTGGTGAATTACTGGTTTCTTGTACCTCAATGGAGGAGTACGAGGCATAGGCCAAGAGAGATCTCATATGATATATTAATGAAACACAGTTCATGTGTGTGTGTATATACATTATAACTGTTAAGGAAACTGGACAATCAAGAAGGAAGATACAAACATCCTTTTTAAAGTAACCATACACACATTCCTTGAAATGCAACGTAACAGCTTTAATATATGAGTTGTGGCAAGGCTATGATTGTTATTCTTAACAGACTGACACTGTGTTTATAACTAGAAAGGATAAAAAGTTATTGTTAGGAATATAAGTCACCTAACAGGTATTTGGGTTAGAAATATATAAACCAGGATAAACATTTTAAAACTGTATCTTTAAGAAAATGCAAAACTGTAATTAGGTGTGGTTTCTCAAATGGCCATAAGATGGAGCCAGAAACCTGGTTTGTCTTAGTCTTAGTCTCAGAAGAGAGTGTGAGTCAGTTTCTGTTTCCTTCTGTTGGAGAGTTTTGCCGTTCCTTCTAATTGACTGCTATTCCTGGATTTGATGTAAGTCTGATACTGAACTGTTTTTGACACTGGACTTTGTTACTGAATTACCCCTGGACTAAAAACTGACTGATCTTACCTGTGAATGATTTTGGACTGCTTATTTTGAACTTTGCTTAAACTTTCTAGAAGTAAAAACCTACATTTACTGTACAGTGTATCTGCGCGCTGTGTATGCGTATTATTCAAACACTACTCTCAAATACATCTCCTTGTATGCGCTCATTCTCCTAACGGGGAATTACCTCAACAGTTACTGTAGCATATTTCCTCAAGCCCTCTCAAGGTGTGAACTCTGCAATCGATTCATCATTACAAAGCAGAGATTGCCACAATAATAATAATAAACATTTCATTCTTACATGAGGAATAAAGCAATGGGTATCTACAAGTATAAAGAGGCATATGTATATTTCTCTCTTACACACACTCACATAAATATTATATAAGTAAGCATGTAGATAAATAGTTTATTACATAATCAATTCAACCTGAGTTCTTATTCCAGCTCACCATAATCCTCAGGTAATTGAGGAGAAAGCTGATTCTGAATTTTTGTTGTTGCAATTCCTTCTTATCTCTTCTGAAATCTTATGTGAATAATGGACATTTAGGGAAAGGACTAGGATCTCAGTTACATGGTCAGTGAAAATGATGCAGTATTTGATTCTATCTATTTTCTATTTCAAATATGTGTAACTTTAGCTGAGTTGAGAAGCACTGGCTGCTGAGTCACAATCATAATCTGTTTCAGTGTGAGTGACAATTTAGGTGGCGATCCTCTTTTACCAAATTATGATTTAAGTTAGCAAGTCAATTAAATTGGTGTTAGAATGGACTGTATCCAAAAGACGTAACTGAAGAAATGACAGAGGTTTGACAAATTATTTGACAAGATACAAATGGTATTGAAAGTAGATTTATAAATGACAGGCCAGGAGAATGACTTAGGAAAGGATATTCTATTGGATTTACAAAAGAAATTGGCTGAGGTTTTAAATTTTCACAGGCAAACACAAATGACAAACCATGAAAGTAACCTGGATTTTTTTCCTTACTGGATTTACTAAAGAGGCTCATAAAAGTGCAACTATGTAAGATGGGAGGGGAAAAATTGAAATAAATAAAATCCTATGACAACATTTGAATGAATTAAAGAGTAAGGCTTTTAAAAGTAAAAGGAAGGATTGTAAAATTGGTTTATTTGATCAATGTTAAAACAAGATAGATTGTTACCTCTGGCAACCCTTTATGAACTTTCTGATGACACTAGGATTGAAAGGATGACGTTTCATGGATGTGTTCATAGATAAGAGATGAGTTGATGACATAAATGTTTGTAACCTTAGAGGTGAAGCATCACTAAATTTATGCTTCTTGTGATCAAGTCTGGAAGTCACTTCTTCATATATTACTTTTTATTTATTATACTTCTTTCTTTCTTCTCTTTTTCCTTGCATTTTACTCCTTCCTTCTATTCTTTTTAAGCTTAGTTTGTATTAGATTTTACTACTATAGTCAAATTTTACTTATTAAACAAATTTATATTATAGAGTCACACAGTGCAGGTTATAAAATATCCAAAGCAAAAAACTAATACAATCCCACCTCTTGCCCGCTCCAAAAACTATCATTTGATTTTCTCTGTATCAGCCTCCATCTTAAAGGTCTTCTGGAAAAGTAACAAGTTGGAGGGGCAATCTTATCTCTGGGGGAATTATATTAATTCCAACGAGAGCAATCTACCTCTTTTTCTTTTTCAGACCCTTTATCTTGGTCCCACCTGATTTCCCTAATAGATGGAGCCCACAGTATGCTCTACCCTCCTGCAAGTAGATTTAACTGGCAGAGGCAGTCCTTCAAATAACCTGGTGCCAAGCCATGTAGGGCTTTAAAGATGACCAAGCAACACTTTGAAGAGCACCTGGAAGTAGTTCAATAACCAATGCAGCTCTTGCAAAAATCTTAACAGAAATTATATATAAAAGGAAAGAGAAGAAAAGAAAATACTGGTATCAATTTTCATTATTAACCTACATTAAAATGTTAACAAAAAGATACCTTGTTCAACTAATAATTCTGATTTTTCAGTATTAAATCTTAGGAATTCTTTGTTTACTGCCTCCAATTCTCGCTGACACTCTGTTAACCGCTTCTCCTTTTCTTTCACAGTTTTCTGATGGTTTTGATACATTCTTCTAAGTTGCTCATCATTTCCTTGAAAAACCTAATATTATAATGTAGGATAAAAACATTATTTTACAAATATCTTATTATTTTTCAGAATAGGATTCTTGCAAAGGCCAAAGAATATGTGATACAAAAAGCTATATGATTATGACTGCCTTTCCTAAACTAAAAACTTACCGTATATACTTGAATATAAGTCAACCCAAATATAAGCCGAGGCACCTAATTTTACCACAAAAAACTGGGAAAACTTATTGACTCGAGTATAAGCCGAGTTTTTCAGCACATTTTTTGTGCTGAACCCCCCCCCTCGGCTTATACTCGAGTGAGATTCCCTCTGAAAAAAAAAATGGTGTGGAGCTCCGGAGCTTGGCAGCCGCTTCCCTGCTTCCCTGTTTCCTTTGCAACTTGTAAGCATGGGGGTAATCGGAAGCAGAAAAGTTCTTGCATGAGGATATATTGATTTTTCTTTATTTAACTGTTTTTAGGGGGGGGGGGAAAGACCCACCGTCATGTGAGAATGCCCAGACACGAAATCTATCTGCCTGAAAATAAGTGTGTGTGTGTGGGGGGGGGGGTTTAACAGAGGGAAGACATAGGGAGAAGGCAAAAGCGACGGAAGATCCTTCAGGGGAAACTGAGGGGGAGACTCACCCTTGGTCCAGCTGAGCCCCCTTCCCCGCCCCTAAGGAAGCAGAGGCAGCCAGCAAGGGCAGGCAAGCCCCGCTTCGCAGACTCTGTCCGTCCATCCTCGCTCCCACCCACCCACCCAAAGCCACAAAGTCCCCCAATCGCTCAGCCCAGAATCGCCCTCCCCTCAGGGGGCAGCAACGACGCCCGGTGTTTCCTGAGACAAGAAGCTCCGCTGTGCAATGAAAGCGCCCTGGCTCTAGGCTCAGAAAACAACGCGAGCCGAGGTGGCTTCATTTCCTCAGTCCCAGCTGCTTTCAGTCCGCTCGGGAGGAGGAGGAGGAGGAGATGGTGGCGGCGGCTCGCGTTGTTTTCTGAGCTCTAGGCTCACGATCTCAGAAAACAACGCGAGCCGAGGTGGCTTTGTTTCCTCAGCCCCAGCTGCTTTCAGTCCGCTCAGGAGGAGATGGTGGCGGCGGCTCGCATTGTTTACAAGTTGCAAAGGAAACAGGGAAGGAGGGAAGCGGCTGCCCAGCTCCGGAGCTCCACACCATTTTTTTTTTCAGAGGGAATCTCACTCGAGTATAAGCGGGGGGGGGGGGGGGGGTTCAGCACAAAAAATGTGCTGAAAAACTCGGCTTATACTCGAGTATATACGGTAATCTACCAGTCTGCATTGTTGCAATGAAGATTGAGAAATACTGTAGTGGACTGGGAAAATGTTAACCTTTTTCTTAATCTAGGTTTCATATCAGTTCCTAATGTTCCTGTACCACCTACTTGTGGATTTGCAATAGTAATAACAACTGCAAGAGGGATGACTGATTATAAACACAACATTTGCTGGGAACAAAAATCTAACTTTTACCATTGGGTCAGCATAACACACGCAGTAGTCCTGATGTTACCTAGTTTGGGTAAGGAGATGTCTGCAAGAAAATAACCAAGTTCAGAGAGTACCAAGGACCCCACATTTCAATCCTGAGCTACAAATATTCTCCTTTATAAATGCAGTTTAAATATTCCTCTTCATGCAAACATGAACAACATAAACAAACCTTCTCCATTTTTTGTTGCAGGTCTTGATTATCCTTTTCCATCTGTTTTCTCCGACTTTCCAGAGCTTTGCTTTCATTATCAAGTCTCATGACTTTTATAAGGTTCTGTTCTATTTCCATCAAAGAGTTCTGAGAAAGGAATAAATATTTAATGTAAGGATGCCACATAACAATTAGGAGGGATGATAAAACAACTTTGTAAATAAACTCCTTAAAGGAATTAGCCACTTGGGCCCTAAGGAAGGATGCAAGCAAAGCTCTCTCCCATCTTCAACAATGGCATTTTTAAAGTGGGCATGGAGTTCAGGCTGCCATCTATTTGGACATTAAGACCCAACTTTCAAATATCCAATATTTTTTTTTAAATATTCAATTTAATGCTCTCTTCATGTTCTTTCATGGTTCATTAATTAAGCACACCTTTAAACTAGGCTGACAATTTGGAGTCAGCAAACAAGCTGCAATAAACAGATTCAAGTTGCCAGCTGAGGACACATCCATTTAATCAACATATTATACAGATAATAAGTCACCTTTAGAGGCTCTAGTTGGTTTTCAATATGTCTGACATTTTCTTTGGAGGCGGCTAACTGAGTTTCCCTGCTAGTTAGCTGATTCTGGATCTCTTGTGCTTTTTCTTTATTCTGCTTCAAGTACTTCAGCTCCACCTGACATTCTTTAACTCTCTGCCCTTGTTTTAGACGCACCTGGCGAAGCGTTTCCAAAGCCTTAATATACCTTTTGGGAAGAAAAATGTATGTGATTTTAAAAATACCCGTAATCTGTAGAGAACCTTTTATTAATTGACATTAAAGATTATTTGACTCATTTTAATCCTTTACTCATTCAAGAAACCACAAATAAAGATTACCTTGTTGCTGAAAAGATCTCATCAAATTTCTGTTTCAGAGCCTTTCCTTCACTTAGAGGCCAGTTGGAATCTTCTTGATGGCAGAAAATGACATTATTAAGTACAGACTTAGAAACTCCAAGGGCAGCAATCATCTCTCGGTCCATTTCTGCACACTTGGAGCTCAGACTGACTTTCTCTCCATGCCTGCATGAACACAGGCACAAAAACACAGCAAGTGAATGATTAACATTATACACACAATTTACTTCTCTTTTTCTGTTACTCCAAATCAGTATTTGACTGCTGCAACTGCCTGAAAAAATCCTTGCAATTTTCTTGGCAAAGTTTTGGCAGTGGCTTAGCATTGTCTTTTTCCTACAGCTAAGAGAGAACAAATGGCCCAAAGTAACCCCATTGGCTTCATGCCTAAGGCAAGACTAGAACTCATGATCTTTTGTGTTGTTCCATATATTTCATGACTATTTGACTTATTACATTATTCTTACATTTATTGTTTTCCAATATATAAGGACACTACAGTTCTTTTCAATTTCACAGAAGAAAAACATGCTATTATATTATTTGTTCAGTTAAATTAATGTAACAGGAAAGAAGAGGAAGCATTAATTGAAGTACAAATAAAATAAATATATTTAGAAAGGATTCTAATCACAACTTGGTACAAGCTTTTGGTGGTATGTAAAAATAGAAGGTACATCTATACTTTGTTTTCAGACAAACAATTGCACTGATTGCACTGATATAATCACAAAATTGTATTAAATTAAAAAATATGATTGTTCACTCACTTTATTCTTGTAATTACTCCTTCAAGAGTTTTAAATTCTGTCTTCTTTCCTTTCTGAGAACATACCATGGATCGCTGGACGGCAACAAGCTCTCCATTAACATCACGAAATTGAAGTCTTATTTGAGCTCTGACATCTGTTTCATTGGCAACCTTCCCCAATGGAAAATAAAATTTATTTTTATTTACAGGTCCAGGAAGATCAATAGTTTCTTTGCCTAAATCACCTCTTTAATCATGTTTGTTTATAATAAAAGTGGAGGCAGAGATTTAAAAGTTATTTTCTGGATCATGGACATTGATGATGAACTGAATTTCTACCAGAGTTGAGGGGTTCTTTTCATACAGTTTTGAGAGACATAAGGGAAAGCATAAGGACAAGAAACTGAAGCAGGTATTTCTACTGCATGAGAAGAAAATCATTAATGTTTGTTGCATGCAAACGTGTATGAAAAAACATTCCAAGGAAGGCCAATAAGTTAAGAAAAATAATAAGGAAGTTGTCATGAGAACAGAATCATCAAAGCACTAACAAACATTTCAGCAATCAATTACAAAAGGACACATTGCTTGGATCTGTACATATACTATACCAAACACCAATTAAAGAACTGGCAGCTATGACTTTACATTCCTGTGTCTATAGTAATATTTGTATATTTTTCCAATGTATTTATAATGCAGTTATTTTCTTATCATATAATTTAATGCATTGCCTACATTTATGTTTTAGCATGCTCTTTAAAAACACTGTATCTTCTGGCACAACACAGAAAATAATAATGGTCATTTTTCTTGAAATAGGGAACTACGAATTCCTCATCAACTTAATCTACACACTGCAATTTACTGGCCAAACAAACTAGCAACCGCAATACTTACTTTTGGATCGTGGACAAATGAATTTCCTTTGCTGCCGGGTGGGAAGTCCCCAGTACAAATATATTTGAGGCATTCTATGATAGTCTAATGAAATGAAAACAAGCATCAGAAATATATTTAATGACCACTAAATGATTATGTCTAGATGAGCAGATTTAAAAAGTACACCCTCTCATGTATTATTTTCTCCAACTTCTCCATATGTCTAAGAAACTACAAATATGGAGCTCTGCTGATCACTTCTATTAGCAGGAATTCCCACTGACATTGATTTGTACAAAATTGCAAGACCCTATGCATCTAACACAAGCTGATGTCTTGTGTATATTGTCAAACAAAAGAGAATGATAACAAAATGTTTAAATTTAGTTCTTTGAAAGCATCCTCCTGTACTGAAAGAAGTATCTCACTATTTTCCACAGTCATGTTCTTTGTTGTAAAATACACTATCAAAGTACAAAAAGAAATAAATAAGAAACACAAACACCATGGTACTGTTAAAAATCTAGACCCACTCAAAATTTCTGCTAAAGGAGGTGCAAGTAGATTAATCTGAATGAATTCATTTTATTCAAGAATGAAATGCATGTCTGCTATGCAGTCATGTTTTAAAACATATTTAGTGTTGTAATTAACCTGCTCATATACACTATGCATGTGATGAGAGTTTATTTATTGCACCAGTAAAATATAAGTAAAACGTTAATTGGTTTGTTACTTTAAAAAGAAAGCACTCACAAATTTAAGAGAAGGAAGAAAAAGAGATGCTCAGGTGACAAGACAGGATAGGAAAAAGAAAAAAGAAGTAACCAGTGGGATGGGGAAGAAAAGAAGGGATTTTGGTACTTCTTGTGCAAATTAAACAATCTGTAAATGAGTACATAGAAGTTTTTGTGATCTATATTTTTAAAGAAAATATATATCCTATACAATTTGTTTTTTCAGTGTCATTGTTAAAAAGAGTTATATTTATTTGTAAGGAGCTAATATTTAAGGTATATGAAAAACAGAATACTTTTTCTGAGAGATAATCCCCAAATTTTGTTATTTATTTATTATTCTTTTGGGACATTTATGATAAGATTTTAAAATATATTTATTCCCACTTTTGAACATTGGGATGGGTGATAAGAAATGGGTGGTATAGTTGGGTGGTATAGTTTATTTTAAAAAATTAAACCCACTTGAATCTTACCGTTTTTCCAGCACCATTTGGGCCCACCAAAATAGTTAGAGGATTAAAGAAAGTGATAACTTGTTTATCTTTATCCTCCACACCAAAGCTCCTTACTCCAAGAATGCTCATTTTATCAATCTTAGACATCTTTGAAAAATATTCTTCTTTCCACTAGCAGTAAACTGTATTCAAACTACCCTGTAGAGTAATAGTTAAATAGAATAAAAAAGGTCAGTTTCAGTTATCTTTCTTCTAGATAAGGCAAACAATATTCCATATGTAATTTGCTTAGGACATTTGCGCATAAATGTCTAAATATAGAATTAAAAGAACAAAACATTGGTAAATATTTCATCCACAATTTAAAAGGCAGACTAGCATAAGGGTCTAAACTATTGATCCATAAACTAGATGACACTCAAGCTCCCACCTCATTACTATGGTATGTAAAGAAATGGATGGAAAAGTTAACACCAAGGAAGTTGCAGAACATGCATAACTGCAATACCATCTCCCTGGCATGGATTGTTAATTTTTGCTGCTGTTGCTTTCATTTGTAACTATAATTGCTTTGTATCATCTAAAGTTGTTTCGGTAATTGAAGCTGTCTATCCAAGTAACTCCAAATGCTTATGTAGCAACACAGTTCTTTTAATTCTGTTCCAACAGATTCACATCCTCTTTCTTACATTCACTTTCATTCATTCTGTTGGGAGATTACTTAGGGTCCAAGATTTCTTCATACTGGATTTTTGCTTTCCTTTTCTATATTCAATCTACTTCCATTCTAGTTTCTTTTACTTCTTCTCTTTTCCTCCATGTCCATCTTTTCCAACATCCATTAACATAGTATTTGAAAAATAGTGTATCTCATATTTAGAATCTCTCAGCACCTCTTGTATTCTTCATTAATTCTCAATTATTTCTCAAAAATTATAATATCATACACTTTTAAATAAATGTGTACATATGATACACAAAACATGCTTAAACCATATATTAAGATTTAGGTTATTATTGAATAATCTTCATATTTATTTGGTTTTTTACCTCTACCCTTAAAATGTACTTTGAAAAGACCTTCAGAAATGAAAGGGGGTAAGAAGGCATCCAGAAATACATGATCTTGTTAAACGCAAAAATGTGTACTCCAACATTGTTAAAAATGGAATTATAGAAGGAGTATATGTTTAACTGAGGGGTGTTTGGATTTTCCTTATTTTGTGATCTATAATTCTGGAATACATTGAAATTGCTATTAAGACAATTGAAAACCACTTCTTTATAAGTTTTTTTTTAATCTTTCTTTTCTTTTTTTGCATCTTTTTTACATATTACTTTCTTTTCAAAATTTGTAGTTTTTCCTCTTTTAAAAATATTTATTATGCATATTTACATACATACAGATAGTCCTTGACTTACAACTGTTCATTTAGTGACCGTTCAGTTACAACAACTGAAAAAAAGTGGCTTAAGACCATTTTTCACACTTATGACCATTGAAGCATCCTCATGGCCACGTGATTTACATTCAGATGCTTGACCACTGATTCAAATTGATGACGGTTGCAATGTCCCCAGGGGTCATGCGATCCCCCGCTTTTGCAACCTTCTGACAAGGCAAGTCAATGGGGAAGCCAGATTGACTTAACAACCATGTTACTCACTTAACAACTGCAGCGTTTCACATTTTAACAAACAGGGCAAGAAAAATCGTAAAATGGGGCAAAACCCACTTCACGCATTTCTCACTTAGCAAGAGAAACTTTGGGCTCAATTGTGGTCGTAAGTTGAGGACTACTGTATTTGTGCGTGTGTGTGTGTGTGTGTGTGTGTGTATGTATGTGTGCATACACACACACACACACACAAGCATTTCATGTATTCATTTATTTATTTTTAAACACATCACTGGAGCAGCATTAGAAGAAGCATCAATGCAGGAAGGGATAGGAGGAGGAGGAGGAGGAAGATTGCTGTTGCTTCAAAAAGAAATCCTGATTTGGCTGATGAAGGGCACAGCTACCTCTCTAGCAATTTGTTCCACTGAGAAGATCTGCCTGCATCGCTGTTTCTGATTAAAAGAAAAAACAAAACACCAAAATGCGGGATGGGTGGGAGTGGGGGCGGTGAGACATAAGCCAGTGTAAAGGGCAGGAAAGCAAGGAATCCCATTCTGGCACAAAACCCCCAAGCCCCCACCACAGCGGCTTCCCGTTCTTAGCTCAGCAATTCCTTTACGGCAAGATGCCGCCCCCGACACCCCACATCCCCCAGTGTGGTTCAGAAGCCGGGGTGAGCCCTCCCGAGAACCCAGCACCGCAATTCCGGAGGAGGATGGGCCCCTCCGCGCGGGGGTGGGCGGGGTGGGGGACTCCCGCTTTCCGCGATTGGGAACTTCCCATGCCGCAGCGAGACGGCTCGAGAAGAAGGACGTGTGTGTGGGGGGGGGAACCCTACTTTTCTTGGGGGCGGGGAATGGGGCGCAGCTCTGCCAGAGTGGGGAGGAGGAGACTCGGGGGGTGGGAGGGAGAGGCACAGCGATCTCCGGGGCCGCAGAAGGGAAGGTTTGATATACAGCCTCGCGCAGTCGAATCTTGCAAGAGAGAACTTACCGCCTTGATTGACACGCCGGGCCCACCAAGGGCGGGCGGGGGGGGGGGGGCGTGTCTGACGGAGAAAGGGCACTGGAGCGTGAGGGGTTTCGTCTACCGCCCGGCCCGCAAACCCGGCATTACTTTCCCGCCACCGCCGAAGAAACGTCATCGGTATGACGTCACCAACTTGCGAGCCAAAGAGATAGTCAAAGTTGAAGAGTGTCCTCAGCGAACCCGGAAGAGGAGGAGGAAAGGCAACGTAGGCCTGAGCTCGCTGGGAAATCATGACTAGTGACATCGAGTGTCATTTCTACATGTTTTTATCTCTCGGTGCCTCGTCCCTGCATGTGACAGCCTGCCGACTAGGAACGAGGAAATCGCTCCAGGCTTATACAGTGTACTTTGAGAAGTTTAGCCAATGCCGTCAGAAAGGGTAGAGTAGGATATTAGACAGCCTCTAATTGGCCTTAAAGGCCTCAGAAGCTAAACAGGCATGATTTGATTAGCCCATGGATGAGGGAAATCGTAGGCTAGGCTGGGAAGTTAAAAAGCATCTTGGAAAAAAAGTTGTGGTAAACCACAATACCAGGGCTGTCCAACCTTGGCAACTTTACGACTTGTGGACTTCAACTCCCAGAATTCCTTAGCCAGTGCATGCTGGCTGAGGAATTCTGGGAGTTGAAGTCTGCAAGCTGTAAAGTTGCCAAGGCTGGAGACACACACCCCTGCAATACACTATATGAGATCAATAAGTTCCAAATATGTCAATCCAAGAGCAAACCTTGAGAAGAGGGATTATTTTGCTGTATTTTGTTTTTTTAAACAAAAGTTAACTGCAGAGCATAAGAGTTCTACATATACAGGTGAAACTCGAAAAATTAGAATATCGTGCAAAAATTCATTTATTTCAGTAATGCAACTTAAAAGGTGAAACTAATATATGAGATAGACTCATTACATGCAAAGCAAGAAAGTTCAAGCCGTGATTTGTCATAATTGTGATGATTATGGCTTACAGCTCATGAAAACCCCAAATCCACAATCTCAGAAAATTAGAATATTGTGAAAAGGTTCAATATTCTAGGCTCAAAGTGTCCCACTCTAATCAGCTAACTAAGCCATAACTCTTGAAAAGGGTTCCTGAGCCTTTAAATGGTCTCTCAGTCTGGTTCAGTAGGAATCACAATTATGGGAAAAACTGCTGACCTGACAGTTGTGCAGAAAACCATCATTGACACCCTCCATAAAGAAGGAAAGCCTCAAAAGGTAATTGCCAAAGAAGTTGGATGTCCCCAAAGTACTGTATCAAAGCACAGTAATAGAAAGTTATGTGGAAGGGAAAAGTGTGGAAGAAAAAGGTGCACAAGCAGCAGGGATGACCGCAGCCTGGAGAGGATTGTTAGGAAAAGGCCATTCAAAAGTGTTGGGGACTTTCACAAGGAGTGAACTGAGGCTGGAGTCAGTGCATCAAGAGCCACCACACACAGACAGATCCTGGATATGGGCTTCAAATGTCGTATTGCTCTTGTCAAGTCGCTCCTGAACAACAACAACGTCAGAAGTGTCTTACCTGGGCTAAAGAAAAACAGAACTGGTCTGTAACTCAGTGGTCCAAAGTCCTCTTTTCTGATGAGAGCAACTTTTGCATCTCATTTGGAAACCAAGGACCCAGAGACTGGAGGAAGAATGGAGAGGCACACACTGCAAGTCCAGTGTGAAGTTTCCACAGTCTGTGTTGATTTGGGGAACCATGTCATCTGCTGGAGTTGGTCCACTGTGCTTCATTAAGTCCAGGGTCAACCCAGCCGTCTACCAGGAGATTTTGGAGCACTTCATGCTTCCTTCCGCAGATGAGTTTTATGGGGATGCTGACTTCATTTTCCATTAGGACTTGGCACCTGCCCACACTGCCAAAAGCACCAAAACCTGGTTCAATGACCGTGGGATTACTGTGCTTGATTGGCCAGCAAACTCGCCTGACCTGAACCCCATAGAGAATCTATGGGGCATTGCCAAGAGAAAGATGAGAGACATGAGACCGAACAATGCAGAAAAGCTGAAGGTCGCTATTGAAACATCCTGGTCTTCCATAACACTTCAGCAGTGCCACAGGCTGATAGCTTCCATGCCATGTCGCATTGAGGCAGTAATTGCTGCAAAAGGGACCCAAACCAAGTCCTGAGTACATATGCATGCTTATACTTTTCAGAGGTCCGATATTGTTCTATGCACAATCTTTGTTTTATTGATTGCATGTAATATTCTAATTTTCTGAGAATGTGGATTTGGGGTTTTCATGAGCTGTAAGCCATAATCATCACAATTATGACATATCACGGCTTGAACTATCTTGCTTTGCATGTAATGAGTCTATCTCATATATTAGTTTCACCTTTTAAGTTGCATTACTGAAATAAATGAACTTTTGCACGATATTCTAATTTTTCAAGTTTCACCTGTAACCTTGAGTTTAGGTCAGGGAAATATGAGGAAGTAGTTTTTCTGTGGGTCACTGGAATTCCAAGCCATTTTCTCCCAATTTGCCACAAGCGTTCCTTCCCCAGTCTGAAATATGAGAGATGGCCATTCATCTCATGCTGGAACTGAGGTATGCAATCCGACGCTCCTGCTCCTAAAAAAAATTATTCCATCCAGCTCAGGGATTGGATACTTTCAGAGACTTGGATTAGTTCATCTGCAAGGTATCTTCCACACCAATCACAAAATCTGCATTGGCAAGGAGGACAGGACAATAGTTAATAGCAACTTTTTTGTTTCTTTGAAAAAAATCTTCAATTATTAAGTGAGCACACTTGTGGAATTATTGCTATTTGGGGAGCATGGGCATGATGATAAATTGTAACATAGACACACAGTTCCAAATCCATCACACTGACCATGACGAATGCCGTCCTGAGGTGTTTAGAATTCTATTTTGGGGCAGGAGGCAGCCTTTCCAGCCTGTATGGCTCTCAACTTTTTAGGTTCAAAAGAAAAACCTGCAGGGACACTATTACTAGAGTTGCTTTTAGATAGCAAGATGAGCAGCATATAAAATTAACAAATAAAAAGAATAAAAAAATAAGTAAATAATTATACTGTATGGGAATGGAACCCTATGTAATCTGAGTCCTCAACTTATATGGTACTACAGATATCTACCCAAATGTAGTTATGGTTTTTCCCCAGACCATTTCCACAACCAGATGGATGAAGGCAGAAGAAACATGGTGCTGTTCCCATTCTCCGCAAGGTTGTGTCCTTAGTCCACTACTGTTCTCCATTTATTCATCTGATTGCACAAATAAACATCCCAACAATAAGATAATAAAATTTGCAGACGATACTACGCTTGTAGGACTTATTTCTGGGGATGATGAGTCTGCATATCAGGATGAGGTATTACAGCTATCCCACTGGTGCAAAAATAATAATCTTCTATTTAACATTAAGAAGACCAAGGAGGTTATAGTGGACTATAGGAAAAAAAGAACAGACATTCAGCCACTGTATATAGAGGGAGTTCGTGTGGAACAGGTGGTTGAATGTAAGTATCTCGGGACCATCATTACAAATGACCTGACCTGGAGTGCAAACACCGCTGCTTTAATTAAGAAGGCACAACAACAGTTGTATTTACTAAGGATTCTTAGAAAACAACAACTGGCTGAGAGTCTACTGACTACCTTCTATCGGAGTTCAATTGAGAGTACATTATCCTACTGTCTCTGTGTATGGTTCTCGAGCTGCACAGTGGCAGAGAAAAAGGCAATTCAGAAGGTGATTAAGATGGCCCAAAACATCATTGGCTGCTCACTCCCCTCTTTGGAAGAACGGTATAGGAATAGATGTAAGAGGAAGATATTTAATATATTGAATGACTCCTCTCATCCGGGACATCAGCTCTTTGAACTATTACCATCGAGAAGGAGATTCAGGGTATTAAGAACAAGGATGACTAGATTTAAGAACAGTTTTTATCCTAGTGCAGTTTTGAGTTTGAATGCAGGGTCATAAGATTTTGGTGGAATTTAATGGCTGAGAGTAATGGGGTATTTACATTTTTAAATTGTATAGAGATTATTGTATGGTCTGTTGTGTTTAATTTTATTTTTCTTTCAATGGTGTTGTCCAGTTTTACTTGTGGAAGAGCACCTCATTTCGTTGCACCCGCTTGCGAGTGTAATGACAAATAAATTCTTATTTCCTGTCCATGCATACAGTTCCTGAATTGCTTAAAGAGGCTAAGAACACACTTGCCAATTCTGATAAACTTCACTGTGTATGTGGAAATGATATAGCTTTGTCTGCTTGATTTTATATCTCTTCTGATAAACTAGACATAAATATTTAATCTAAGGACTATAATATTTCTTTCGGTGTACCAGCTAATGTTAATCAGCAGGAAGTTTTAGCATCATTACTTTTTAGGTAATGACACTTAGAAGTATTTCAATGACTAGATTAAAAACAACAAAAGCAATAAGCAAAATACATGATCCAGCAAAACTGCTCAGCTTTTCCTTGGTGTATTGGTTTTACTCTCTCAACAATTAGGATGTTGCAGTTTGCATTCTACGTTCTGAATATCAAAATGGACAATATTAGTTAAATAATATCAAACAACAGCAGAGGGCAGTAATTTAGAAATGCCAGCCATATGTTGGAACCAGCAGACGGCAGTCCACTGTTAAAAATCAAATTTGCCAACCCAGAAAAGAACACTAGCTCTCCCTATCATTTCCTCATTCACCCAAGTTTATTCTCATATGCACGGCACAAAAATAGCTACAGGGCAGCTAAGGATTATGTATATAGTGCAATTTTGTCTGATTTGGGGAGTTTTAATAACAGAAAAAAGGCTGATCACCCAGCACATGGGCTGTTCTGAGACATAAACAATGTAGGTGGTTTAGGAATGAACACAAAACATACATGTATGTTCTTGAGCAGAATTACTAGGAAGAAAAAAGGACCTCACTGCTTCGTTTATGCTGGCATCCAATTATAGGACATTGTTAGGAACAGTATTATAATTCACTGAATATATGTTTCAGGCACTCTCCAATTTTAGTGTTATTCTCTTTTATTTATGCTATTGTACTCTTTCATTTGCACCTGTGAGTTGTGATGTATAAATACATACCTGAACATATACATATATATTCA